GGCTGGCAGGGGGCAATAAGAGGGGACACAGGGTACCATGGCTGGCAAAGAGCAATAAGAGGGGGGACACAGGGTACCATGGCTGGCTGGCAAAGGGCAATACGAGGGGGGATACAGGGTACCATGGCTGGCAAAGGGCAATAAGAGGGGACACAGGGTACCATGGCTGGCAAAGGGCAATAAGAGGGGACACAGGGTACCATGGCTGGCAAAGGGCACTAAGAGGGGGGACACAGGGTACCATCATTATTATGATATTTATAGAGCGCCGTCAAATTCCGCAGCGCTTTACAATGGGTGGACGAACAGACATGTAGTTGTAATCAGACAAGTTGGACACACAGGAACAGAGGGGTTGAGGGCCCTGCTCAATGAGCTTACACGCTAGAGGGAGTGGGGTAAAATGACACAAAAGTTAAGGATAGTATTAGACTAGTGACAGTTGCAGAAGAGGAATCAGTCAGGAGCTATTAACAGTTTAATTGATACGCTTTTATGAAGAAGTGGGTTTTTAACGATTGTTTGAAGGAGTGGAGATTGGGTGAGCATCTAACGGAGGAGGGAAGCGAGTTCCACAGGAACGGTGCAGCCCTCGAGAAATCTTGAAGATGAGCATCAGAGGTGGGCCATCGATGGCAAAGGGCAATAAGAGGGGGACACACTGTACCATGGCTGGCAAGGGGCAACAAGAGGGGGGACACAAGGTACCATGGCTGGCAAGGGGCAATAAGAGGGGGGAACATAAGGTACCATGGCTGGCAAGGGGCACTAGGCGGAGGACACAGGGTACCATGGCTGGCAGGGGGCAATAAGAGGGGACACAGGGTACCATAGCTGGTGAGGAGAAGGGGATACAATTAATATAGTTGTTTTTTTTTTTTTTGTCTTTATTTACCTATCTACCTGTCTTTATATGAACAAGTAATATATTGTTAATTATATTATATACTATTTGTGTGCGCGTCTGTATATATATGCATGCCCATGTGTATGTATGTTGGTTTTTTTCTGCCTTTATAACAAGCACTGTCTGAGCCTGTCCTGATAATGTGCGGTCAGATCCCCTACATTAGATATAAACCCAGCGCTGTCTGAGCCTGTCCTGATAACGTGCAGTCAGATCCCCTACATTAGATATAAACCCAGCGCTGTCTGAGCCTGTCCTGATAATGTGCAGTCAGGTCCCCTACATTAGATATAAACCCAGCACTGTCTGAGCCTGTCCTGATAACGTGCAGTCAGGTCCCCTACATTAGATATAAACCCAGCGCTGTCTGAGTCTGTCCTGATAATGTGCAGTCAGATCCCCCACATTAGATATAAACCCAGCGCTGTCTGAGCCTGTCCTGATAACGTGCAGTCAGATCCCCCACATTAGATATAAACCCAGCGCTGTCTGAGCCTGTCCTGATAACGTGCGGTCAGATCCCCTACATTAGATATAAACCCAGCGCTGTCTGAGCCTGTCCTGATAACGTGCAGTCAGATCCCCTACATTAGATATAAACCCAGCACTGTCTGAGCCTGTCCTGATAACGTGCAGTCAGATCCCCTACATTAGATATAAACCCAGCGCTGTCTGAGCCTGTCCTGATAACGTGCGTCAGATCCCCTACATTAGATATAAACCCAGCGCTGTCTGAGCCTGTCCTGATAACGTGCAGTCAGATCCCCTACATTAGATATAAACCCAGCGCTGTCTGAGCCTGTCCTGATAACGTGCGGTCAGATCCCCTACATTAGATATAAACCCAGCGCTGTCTGAGCCTGTCCTGATAACGCGCGGTCAGATCCCCTACATTAGATATAAACCCAGCGCTGTCTGAGCCTGTCCTGATAACGTGCGGTCAGATCCCCTACATTAGATATAAACCCAGCGCTGTCTGAGCCTGTCCTGATAACGTGCAGTCAGATCCCCTACATTAGATATAAACCCAGCGCTGTCTGAGCCTGTCCTGATAACGTGCGGTCAGATCCCCTACATTAGATATAAACCCAGCGCTGTCTGAGCCTGTCCTGATAACGTGCAGTCAGGTCCCCTACATTAGATATAAACCCAGCGCTGTCTGAGCCTGTCCTGATAACGTGCGGTCAGATCCCCTACATTAGATATAAACCCAGCGCTGTCTGAGCCTGTCCTGATAACGCGCAGTCAGATCCCCTACATTAGATATAAACCCAGCGCTGTCTGAGCCTGTCCTGATAACGTGCAGTCAGATCCCCTACATTAGATATAAACCCAGCGCTGTCTGAGCCTGTCCTGATAACGTGCAGTCAGATCCCCTACATTAGATATAAACCCAGCGCTGTCCGAGCCTGTCCTGACAACGTGCGGTCAGATCCCCTACATTAGATATAAACCCAGCGCTGTGTGAGCCTGTCCTGACAATGTGCAGTCAGATCCCCTACATTAGATATAAACCCAGCGCTGCCTGAGCCTGTCCTGATAGCGTGCGGTCAGATCCCCTACATTAGATATAAACCCAGAGCTGTCTGAGCCTGTCCTGATAACGTGCGGTCAGATCCCCTACATTAGATATAAACCCAGCGCTGTCTGAGCCTGTCCTGATATTTTTAGGCTATGTCCAGTTTGCTGGATGTGTGGTATCGGAGAGGATGTAACACTAATCCCTTGCACCGAAACTGTGTGACAGGTAGTCAGACAGCGACTGTCATTAGTGTCACACACTGGCATCAGGTTTCTATAGAGCCTTTTCTTAACCCTTTCCCTGCCTAGAGCTCTGAATCCGGTGTTTTTACTCTAACATTTGCCTACGCTCAAGACACACCCACCTGTCTAATTTTAGACATCACTGTGTAGCTCTGCATCATTGTATTGAAATGCAATTTAATGCTACAATATAAAGTTTATATACTCCCAAACTGTGCACAAAATAACACGCATTATGCTTTTTTCCTTTCAAAATAACACTAGTATGGATGAAGCAGTGGGATTTTTACTCTAAATATTTACCTCTTAAGTATATGAATTTGGCATATCTTTCTTTTAAAATATACTTAACCTTTTCTTTAAATCCCTTCCAGTATTCCCTTGGGTTCCACTGATCTGAAGTGCAATAGAATGGCGTCAGAGCCAGCAGAGATGGCCCCAACGTGTGTGGAATTAACAGTGCACTCTACAAGATGCTTACAGACATCATAAATTTGGTGTACATGGAGTTTTTCACATGCGGTTCTCCTCGCTGTTACGATTTCAAGGCTGTGATGTGTCATTGTCCCACAGTCTTGTTTGCCCATCAGAAAAACCATTGAGACCCGACTTGGCCAACGACAAATGGGTTATGAGATATGGAGGGAGTTTTTGGACTAATCGAGGTCGGCCCTAGGGATAATTGGCCCTGGAATCTCATGGCGAGTTCTATAATAGCACTATATACCTTGTATAGTCCAACTTTCCGTATGAACATGGTCTGAAATACACTTTACTGCTGTTTGAAAGTCCATTCCAAAGATGGATGGTGTAAGGAAACCCGAAGCTTTGTGGTCAAACTCTAAAGACTTTAAGGAAAATGGCATCTGGGATGACATGCAAAATTATGGAGTCTCTAACCCTCTGTGGACAGCTGTGTTTGATTATGAGGCCACGGCAGAAGAGGAACTAACCTTACGGAGGGGGGATCTGGTAGAGATACTGTCTAAGGATTCTACGGTCTCAGGGGACGAAGGGTGGTGGACAGGAAGGGTCCGAGACAAAGTGGGCATTTTTCCAAGTAATTATGTGGTAAGCAATCCTAAGTACACCACCATCAGGGGATCTCCAAGAGAATGCCCCCACCCACTGGAGATAGCCTTCGAGGAGTTGCAGTTAGAAGAGATCATTGGGGTGGGGGGGTTTGGGAAGGTCTACAAGGGAATGTGGAAACAGGAGGAAGTAGCAGTGAAGGCCGTCCGGCACGATCCTGACGAAGACATTAACGTGACGGCCGAAAATTTCCGACAGGAAGCCAAACTCTTCTGCATGTTGAATCATCGCAATATCATAGCGCTAAAGGGTGTGTGCCTGAAACCCCCCCACCTCTGCCTAGTCATGGAATACGCAAGGGGTGGACCATTACACCGGGCCCTTGCGGGAAAGAAAGTTCCAGCTCATGTGTTGGTCAACTGGGCCGTTCAGGTAGCTCGTGGAATGAAGTACCTTCACAGTGACGTCATCGTACCCATCATTCATCGCGATCTGAAATCCAGCAACAGTAAGTGTGAAGGGAGTTTATACGCTATACTTGTATATGGTCATACGGTATAACGTATCCTTTATATAATCTGCATTACACCATACTATAAGAGAAATTACTATCTGATTATCTGGGATTGTACTATAAATGGCCCGTACCGGTGCTGTGTATACATGGCGTGGTGTAGTAGTGTGCATAATTGGAGGCTGACAATGCCTGCATTGTGTATATGGTGTGTGAGGAGCGGGTCTAGCACTGCCACCATGTATTCCTTGTTATGGTGGTATATTGTGTAGAGAGGGGGTCTGGCACTTCCGCTGTGTATACATGTTATGGTGGTATAGTGTATAGAGAGGGGGTCTGGCACTGCCACTGTGTATACATGTTACTGTATTACTATACCTCAGTACTGTGCCTGTCTCAGTACCTGTTCATGTGGTGGGACTGTCTCATTATCAGTACTATATGATTTGTGTGTGGGGGGGGGGACTGTCTCAGTACCTGCTTTGTGTGAGAGCATGGTGGGACTGTCTCAGTACATGTACAGCGCTACGGAATTTGTTGGCGCTATATAAATAATAAAATAATAATAATAATAATGTACTGTGTGAGAGCATGGTGGGACTGTCTCAGTACCTGTACTGTGTGAGAGCATGGTTGGACTGTCTCAGTGTGAGAGCTTGGTGGGACTTTCTCAGTACCTGATCTGTGAGAGAGCATGGTGGGACTGTCTCAGTACCTGATCGGTGTGAGAGCATGGTGGGACTGTCTCAGTACCTGATCGGTGTGAGAGCATGGTGGGACTGTCTCAGTACCTGTACTGTGTGAGAGCATGGTGGGACTGTCTCAGTACCTGTACTGTGTGAGAGCATGGTGGGACTGTCTCAGTACCTGTTCTGTGAGAGAGCATGGTGGGACTGTCTCAGTACCTGCTCTGTGTGAGCGCATGGTGGGACTGTCTCAGTACCGGATCTGTGTGAGAGCATGGTGGGACTGTCTCAGTACCTGATCTGTGAGAGAGCATGGTGGGACTGTCTCAGTACCTGCTCTGTGTGAGAGCATGGTGGGACTGTCTCAGTACCTGCTCTGTGTGAGAGCTTGGTGGGACTGTCTCAGTACCTGATCTGTGTGAGAGCATGGTGGGACCGTCTCAGTACCTGATCTGTGTGAGCGCATGGTGGGACCGTCTCAGTACCTGATCTGTGTGAGCGCATGGTGGGACTGTCTCAGTACCTGCTCTGTGAGAGAGCATGGTGGGACTGTCTCAGTACCTGCTCTGTGTGAGCGCATGGTGGGACTGTCTCAGTACCTGATCTGTGTGAGCGCATGGTGGGACTGTCTCAGTACCTGTACTGTGTGAGAGCATGGTTGGACTGTCTCAGTGTGAGAGCTTGGTGGGACTTTCTCAGTACCTGCTCTGTGAGAGAGCATGGTGCGACTGTCTCAGTACCTGCTCTGTGTGAGAGCATGGTGCGACTGTCTCAGTACCTGCTCTGTGTGAGAGCATGGTGGGACTGTCTCAGTACCTGCTCTGTGTGAGAGCATGGTGGGACTGTCTCAATACCTGCTCTGTGTGAGAGCATGGTGGGACTGTCTCAATACCTGCTCTGTGTGAGAGCATGGTGGGACTGTCTCAGTACCTGCTCTGTGTGAGCGCATGGTGGGACTGTCTCAGTACCTGCTCTGTGAGAGAGCATGGTGCGACTGTCTCCGTACCTGTACTGTGTGAGAGCATGGTGCGACTGTCTCAGTACCTGCTCTGTGAGAGCATGGTGGGACTGTCTCAGTGTGAGAGCTTGGTGGGACTGTCTCAGTGTGAGAGCTTGGTGGGACTGTCTCAGTGTGAGAGTTTGGTGGGACTGTCTCAGTACCTGCTTGGTGGGACTGTCTCAGTACCTGCTTGGTGGGACTGTCTCAGTGTGAGAGCTTGGTGGGACTGTCTCAGTACCTGCTCTGTGTGAGCGCATGGTGGGACTGTCTCAGTACCTGCTCTGTGTGAGCGCATGGTGGGACTGTCTCAGTACCTGCTCTGTGTGAGCGCATGGTGGGACTGTCTCAGTACCTGCTCTGTGAGAGCATGGTGGGACTGTCTCAGTACCTGCTCTGTGTGAGAGCTTGGTGAGACTGTCTCAGTACCTGCTCTGTGTGAGCGCATGGTGGGACTGTCTCAGTACCTGATCTGTGTGAGAGCATGGTGGGACTGTCTCAGTACCTGTACTGTGTGAGAGCATGGTTGGACTGTCTCAGTGTGAGAGCTTGGTGGGACTTTCTCAGTACCTGCTCTGTGAGAGAGCATGGTGCGACTGTCTCAGTACCTGCTCTGTGAGAGAGCATGGTGCGACTGTCTCAGTACCTGCTCTTTGAGAGAGCATGGTGCTACTGTCTCAGTACCTGCTCTGTGTGAGAGCATGGTGGGACTGTCTCAGTACCTGCTCTGTGTGAGAGCATGGTGGGACTGTCTCAGTACCTGCTCTGTGTGAGAGCATGGTGGGACTGTCTCAGTACCTGCTCTGTGTGAGAGCATGGTGGGACTGTCTCAATACCTGCTCTGTGTGAGAGCATGGTGGGACTGTCTCAGTACCTGCTCTGTGAGAGCATGGTGGGACTGTCTCAGTACCTGCTCTGTGTGAGAGCTTGGTGGGACTGTCTCAGTACCTGCTCTGTGTGAGCGCATGGTGGGACTGTCTCAGTACCTGCTCTGTGAGAGAGCATGGTGCGACTGTCTCCGTACCTGTACTGTGTGAGAGCATGGTGGGACTGTCTCAGTACCTGCTCTGTGAGAGCATGGTGGGACTGTCTCAGTACCTGCTCTGTGTGAGAGCTTGGTGGGACTGTCTCAGTACCTGCTCTGTGTGAGCGCATGGTGGGACTGTCTCAGTACCTGCTCTGTGAGAGATCATGGTGCGACTGTCTCCGTACCTGTACTGTGTGAGAGCATGGTGTGACTGTCTCAGTACCTGCTCTGTGAGAGCATGGTGGGACTGTCTCAGTACCTGCTCTGTGTGAGAGCTTGGTGAGACTGTCTCAGTGTGAGAGCTTGGTGGGACTGTCTCAGTGTGAGAGCTTGGTGGGACTGTCTCAGTGTGAGAGCTTGGTGAGACTGTCTCAGTGTGAGAGTTTGGTGAGACTGTCTCAGTGTGAGAGCTTGGTGGGACTGTCTCAGTGTGAGAGCTTGGTGGGACTGTCTCAGTGTGAGAGTTTGGTGGGACTGTCTCAGTACCTGCTTGGTGGGACTGTCTCAGTGTGAGAGCTTGGTGGGACTGTCTCAGTACCTGCTCTGTTCTTGTTTTTAATATTACTATACAAACCTCTCTCGACCTTTTGCACAGTCTCTCTCTCCAGAAACCTGTTTGACTTTCCCTACAAAAGGAAGTAAAAGCCATTCTCGTGTTAGATTAACTTATTCCCTGCCAGGGTGCTGCTGGCCTCCCACTGAAACTGTAAAAATATCTTCAGCGTTAACTATAAACCCCGCACTCGCACAATGAGTGACTGATTAGCTTCTGCCGCATTACCCCAGTGCAGCACGTAGTCAGTGTTTCAGGTAACCCAGAGAGGGCTGACTCCAGGCCCTCAATCTCAATGTCCGAAGCTGGTAAAGCACGGCAGAACTTCGTTATTCTGGGGGGGAGACGTAATTAGTACATTCTGTTGTTTTAAGGGAATAAAATCCGTTCAATTTTAAGTGGTTTTGGTAAAGAGGGTTACGGCTGTTTTTATCCTCTATCTCTTCTCTGTGCGCCTCAAGAGCTTCAAAGTTAAAATATAAATGTAGACATGGACTTCTTTAAATAAAAATACAATGCAATAAACAGAAACGCAAGACCCTCGCTGGTCTCAGTGCAGAACAAAACAACATCTGTACAAATGTTCTCCTTCAAAAATAGTGCTCATTGACACTGTGTGTGGGTTTGGACTACATTTCCCAGGATGCTGTATTGTTGGTGAACATCTGGAGAGCCAGTGTTTCCAGCAGGGGTTACAACATGAGTTTATTAACAGGGCCTTCCCCCAGATATCCCGCCCCCAGCGCCTTCACCCTTCTAATAGTTGTCTGTGTTGGACAGAACTGATTTGGTAATGAGAATATGTAAAATCCGGCGTTACGCTATGGGTGCAAGGGAAAGCAACAGGTCTTGTCATGCCAATACCAAACATCAAAAAACGGGAGAGTGCCCCTGGAGTTTTAGCACCATAACCACAACACTGAACGGTAGTGGTTATGGTGCTTGGACTGTCCCTTTAATAGCCAGTCTTTTCCTCTCTTAGTGTTTTGTTATTACCTAAGACAATGTCACAGTGAATGTTGCTCAGTGATTCCGTGCATTTTTAATCTACGGTAAATTCTGTCACTTTTGTGTTTTACTCAGTTTATAGTTATTGGTTTACTTGGTAAGTGCTAACACATACCACAGCGCTGTACAATGGCTGTCACGACATACCAGTAATGTTAGCTTTTGACAAGTTAAAAGTTGGGGACAGAAGGAAGGGCCTTTGTTTAAAAAAAAAAAAAAAAAAAAAAGTTCAAGTCAGGTTCTGCGAACGTCTCACCCTAAGTGGGGAAATGGGGGATCTAGTGGTAGTAATAAAAATAGCCTTTTATTAAACCTTTTTATACATGAAGGCAGTAACAGTGCGGTGGCAGGGAGTGTATCCAACCTCTGTCACTGTATCCATTACAGTGAGAAGGATTTCTGTATAATTCCATTAGGAGAGCCACGGTAAGAAAGACAACCTGACTTCTGCTTATAAATTATAAAACAGGGGAGTGTAATGCTGTTTAATCGTAGCACGTCAGCTGCAGTGACAGGGACAGGCTGAGTGTCCCATAGCTCCTTCTGTCTGTGTCACCCTGCAGTGAGAGGGACAGACTCCGTGTCCCATATCTCCTTCTGTCTGTGTCACCCTGCAGTGGGAGGGACATACTCCGTGTCCCATAGCTCCTTCTGTCTGTGTCACCCTGCAGCGGGAGGGACAGACTCCGTGTCCCATAGCTCCTTCTGTCTGTGTCACCCTGCAGTGGGAGGGACAGACTCCGTGTCCCATAGCTCCTTCTGTCTGTGTCACCCTGCAGTGGGAGGGACAGACTCCGTGTCCCATAGCTCCTTCTGTCTGTGTCACCCTGCAGTGGGAGGGACAGACTCCGTGTCCCATAGCTCCTTCTGTCTGTGTCACCCTGCAGTGGGAGGGACAGACTCTGTGTCCCATAGCTCCTTCTGTCTGTGTCACCCTGCAGTGGGAGGGACAGACTCCGTGTCCCATAGCTCCTTCTGTCTGTGTCACCCTGCAGTGGGAGGGACAGACTCCGTGTCCCATAGCTCCCTTCTGTCTGTGTCACCCTGCAGTGGGAGGGACAGACTCTGTGTCCATAGCTCCTTTTGTCTGTGTCCCATAGCTCCTTCTGTCTGTGTCACCCTGCAGTGGGAGGGACAGACTCCATGTCCCATAGCTCCTTCTGTCTGTGTCACCCTGCAGTGGGAGGGACAGACTCCGTGTCCCATAGCTCCTTCTGTCTGTGTCACCCTGCAGTGGGAGGGACAGACTCCGTGTCCCATAGCTCCTTCTGTCTGTGTCACCCTGCAGTGGGAGGGACAGACTCCGTGTCCCATAGCTCCTTCTGTCTGTGTCACCCTGCAGTGGGAGGGACAGACTCCGTGTCCCATAGCTCCTTCTGTCTGTGTCACCCTGCAGTGGGAGGGACAGACTCCGTGTCCCATAGCTCCTTCTGTCTGTGTCACCCGGCAGTGGGAGGGACAGACTCCGTGTCCCATGGCTCCTTCTGTCTGTGTCACCCTGCAGCGGGAGGGACAGACTCCGTGTCCCATAGCTCCTTCTGTCTGTGTCACCCTGCAGCGGGAGGGACAGACTCCCTGTCCCATAGCTCCTTCTGTCTGTGTCACCCTGCAGTGGGAGGGACAGACTCCGTGTTCCATAGCTCCTTCTGTCTGTGTCTGTCTTTTTCCTTATTACCATGTAGCGAATAACTCCATTCATTTATAGGATTGTACTATGGAGAATTTGATTGACAGTATGTTTTGTTCTTTTTTTTTTTTATTTTTCTCACCCACAGTATTGATCTTGGAAAAAATTGAAAATGATGATTTATTTAACAAGACATTGAAGATCACAGATTTTGGGCTGGCGAGAGAGTGGCAGAAGACGACCAAGATGAGTGCGGCGGGCACCTACGCATGGATGGCCCCAGAAGTCATCCGACTATCGCTCTTTTCAAAAAGCAGCGATGTGTGGAGGTAATGGGCAATTCTGCTCATACTTGGCTCTGCAGAAAGGTGTCCTGGGGGGTAGTTAGTGCATAGTGCCATGCTCCTTCCATTATTGTGTAGGAAGCTACCATCCTTCCTTTCTCTCTACCTATCAGGGTGAAGCTGTGAGGCTCTCGCCAGGTTTGCGATTTGTTCTCCCATTTTGTGTCTCTTTAGAGTTTATATAATGTATTTATGCTGTAGGTACTTAGCCTTACAATGTGCTGTAGATACTTATAACTGCTTCTATTTGCAGTTTTGGAGTTCTATTGTGGGAGTTGCTCACTGGAGAGGTGCCATATCGGGAGATCGATGCTCTCGCCGTAGCGTACGGAGTGGCTATGAACAAGCTGACACTACCGATCCCATCCACGTGTCCCGAGCCCTTTGTACGGATCTTGGAAGGTAATCTGGATTCATAATAGATTATTAATCACTGTCATTGTATAAAAATCACACAATTCCTAATAATCTCTCAGGTCTATCGTTCTCATCAGCCCATAGTGTTTACCGTTTTATATCATTGTTATAGTGTAAGCCAGTATTTAAAATCTTAACTTTCACAGTTTTACTATTTTTTGCTTCATTTTGTCCATCACCATGATATATGTATAGGATCCATACGTTGACCTGCCTTTGTAACACCCACACGTCTGTTCCATCTAAAATGAAAAGCATTATACAACCTATGTAAAACAAATCTTTCCTTTAACGATCCTACAACTAATTGCACAGGCAGGTGTAAGCTACAGGAGATACCACCAATCCAGAGCATGGGATTCTGGGCTATGGTGTAAGCTACAGGAGAGCCTCCCTGACCAAGAGACCCCACCAATCAGGAGCATTGGATTCTGGGCTATGGTGTAAGCTACAGGAGACCCTCCCTGACCAAGAGACCCCACTAATCAGGAGCATGGGATTCTGGGCTATGCTGTAAGCTACAGGCAGACCCTCCCTAAACCAAGAGACCCCACTAATCCGGAGCATGGGATTCTGGGCTACGGTGTAAGCTACAGGAGACCCTCCCTGACCAAGAGACCCCACCAATCAGGAGCATGGGATTCTGGGCTATGCTGTAAGCTACAGGCAGACCCTCCCTAAACTAAGAGACCCCACTAATCCGGAGCATGGGATTCTGGGCTACGGTGTAAGCTACAGGAGACCCTCCCTGACCAAGAGACCCCACCAATCAGGAGCATGGGATTCTGGGCTATGGTGTAAGCTACAGGAGACCCTCCCTGACCAAGAGACCCCACCAATCAGGAGCATGGGATTGTGGGCTATGGTGTAAGCTACAGGAGACCCTCCCTGACCAAGAGACCCCACCAATCAGGAGCATGGGATTCTGGGCTATGCTGTAAACTACAGGCAGACCCTCCCTGACCAAGAGACCCCACCAATCAGGAGCATGGGATTCTGGGCTATAGTGTAAGCTACAGGAGACCCTCCCTGACCAAGAGACACCACCAATCAGGAGCATGGGATTCTGGGCTACGGTGTAAGCTACAGGCAGACACTCTGTAAACCAAGAGACCCCACTAATCAGGAGCATGGGATTCTGGGCAATGCTGTAAGCTACAGGCAGACCCTCCCTGACCAAGAGACACCACTAATCAGGAGCATGGGATTCTGGGCTATGGTGTAAGCTACAGGAGACCCTCCCTGACCAAGAGACCCCACTAATCAGGAGCATGGGATTGTGGGCTATGGTGTAAGCTACAGGAGACCCTCCCTGACCAAGAGACATCACCAATCAGGAGCATGGGATTCTGGGCTATAGTGTAAGCTACAGGAGGACCATCCGTAAACCAAGAGACCCCACTAATCCGGAGCATGGGATTCTGGACTAAGGTGTAAGCTGCAGGAGACCCTCCCTGACCAAGAGACCCCACCAATCAGGAGCATGGGATTCTGGGCTATGCTGTAAGCTACAGGCAGACCCTCCCTAAACCAAGAGACCCCACTAATCCGGAGCATGGGATTCTGGGCTACGGTGTATGCTACAGGAGACCCTCCCTGACCAAGAGACATCACCAATCAGGAGCATGGGATTCTGGGCTATGGGGTAAGCTACAGGAGACCCTCCCTGACCAAGAGACATCACCAATCAGGAGCATGGAATTCTGGGCTATGGTGTATGCTACAGGAGACCCTCCCTGACCAAGAGACACCACCAATCAGGAACATGGGTGTGACGAAATGCCCTTCGCCACTTGGTCCTGGAGTGGCCTGCTTGCCAGCCTCCTCCCCTATGACTCTTTGATATATTTGGATTGAAAGCCCCTATCCTACCTTCAGACAGACTATTTATGTAGGCTGCTTTATTTATCTTAAGCTACAGGCAGACCCTCCCTAAACCAAGAGACCCCACTAATCCGGAGCATGGGATTCTGGGCTACGGTGTAAGCTACAGGAGACCCTCCCTGACCAAGAGACATCACCAATCAGGAGCATGGAATTCTTGGCTATGGTGTATGCTACAGGAGACCCTCCCTGACCAAGAGACACCACCAATCAGGAGCATGGGATTCTGGGCTATAGTGTAAGCTATATGCAGACCCTCTGTAAACCAAGAGACCCCACCAATCAGGAACATGGGTGTGACGAAGTGCCCTTCGCCACTTGGTCCTGGAGTGGCCTGCTTGCCAGCCTCCTCCCCTGTGACTATGACTCTGATATATTTGGATTGAAAGCCCCTATCCTACCTTCAGACAGACTATTTATGTAGGCTGCTTTATTTATCTTATGTTTTAGTCACCCTGTAACCATTATAGGTGCAGGGTGTGTGTAATGTAATTGTTTATAGTATGTGTGTGTGTACTGTGTAATGTATTGCCTGCTCTCCTGTACTGCTGAGGTTTGCTACCAACTAGGTGGGTTTGGCTATGGAGCTTGTCTAGTGCCCTCTGTTGGCAGCAGCAGCAATATGCACTACCTGAATTGCAAGACTGGTTCATTTGCATATTCGAGTAGATTTGCATATTGCTAATTCTGCAGGCAGGTGAGATATTTACTGTTAAATATTGTCTCCCCCACCCCTTTAAAAATGTGCCATTGTGTTGTGATAAGTCACTGTGTGTTGCCTGCTATGGTTGACTGTTTTTGATTTTATTGAGGTTTCACAACAATGTTATTGTGGTGACCCTATGGGCTGGGCCCAAGGGAAATATAGGTTTAGACAGTTCTTCTTGATCCCTCTAAATGTAGCCTTGTCTCGTTATTGGAGGGAGCTGTTATAATCTCACTGGGGATTGCTATGCTCTGCATGCTCCCCTGAGCTTGAATCACTTAGCTCTTTTAAGAGCTTCTTCCTGACACGCTCTCCTTGGAGGACGGGTCTTCACCACACACCCTGATTGCTGGAGGTTCATACGGGGTGGAAGGAAGAGGTCTTTCCCACACAGTCCCACACAGTCCTGGAGAACAGAAGGTGATCCAGGGTGGAAGGAAGACAGCGAGACTCCAGTCAAGCTACAGCGGTTGCGGAGTCTGCGGTGGTTGTGGTGTCCGGTGTGGTGCTTGTGGTCCTCGGCGCAAGCTAGGAAGCGTCCATCAACTGAGGGTACTCGGTCGGAGTACGGGGAGCTCCGTTACAATGGGATTCTGGGCTATGGTGTAAGCTACAGGAGACCCTCCCTGACTAAGAGACATCACCAATCTGGAGCATGGGATTCTGGGCTATGCTGTAAGCTACAGGAGACCCCCCCTGACCAAGAGACCCCACCAATCAGGAGCATGGGATTCTGGGCTATGGCGTAAACTACAGGCAGACCCTCCGTAAACAAAGAGACATCACCAATCCGGAGCATGGGATTCTGGGCTATGCTGTAAACTACAGGCAGACCCTCCGTAAACCAAGAGACCCCACCAATCCGGAGCATGGGATTCTGGGCTATGGCGTAAGCTACAGGCAGACCCTCCGTAAACAAAGAGACATCACCAATCCGGAGCATGGGATTCTGGGCTATGCTGTAAGCTACAGGCAGACCCTCCATAAACCAAGAGACCCCACCAATCCGGAGCATGGGATTCTGGGCTATGGTGTAAGCTACAGGCAGACACTCCGTAAACAAAGAGACATCACCAATCCGGAGCATGGGATTCTGGGCTATGCTGTAAGCTATAGGCAGACCCTCCGTAAACCAAAGGACCCCACTAATCCGGAGCATGGGATTCTGGGCTACGGTGTAAGCTACAGGCAGACCCTCCCTAAACCAAGAGACCCCACCAATCCGGAGCATGGGATTCTGGGCTATACTATCTATTATCCCATAATGTCCTGTCCTGCAGATGTTCATGGGATAAGTTGTTTGTCTTACAGGAGCAGTTCCAATCCTCACATCATATGATATAGCTCTGTATTCCATCTGATCGCAGAAATAGAGCGACATCTATCAGATTTTGAACAGTCTGGTTGAGTCTTGTAAACAGGACTGTGTGCAGCCTTTCCCGAAACTGCCAATCCCACATGTTTGTGGCCGAAGCTTAGATTTCTGGTGGCGATGCTTTGTGCGTAAATGTAAATGGATAAATGTGTTTGCATTAGCCTTTAAGGAAAGTGACACAGCAAGGAATTAAATCAAAACTCCTGCTTTGCTGTTTTGGAGCTGGGGAAAGGGGGAGGTGTCTGGCTTGAACTTTGTTGTAATTTCTACAAATCATATACAATTGTTGGCATATACAAAGCCTTTTTATGCTCGGTTCCTATAGAAACAGCACAGAAAGACTCTAATTGAAACTTGTTATACTTTATATTATGCCGTGCTACAGATTTTGGTGTTGTGGTTGTTGTTTTTAATTGTGCTCAAAATATTTTTTTTATTTTTTATTACAATTATATTGTGTGCGTTCATTAATAATACATGTGCACAACAAACTGATATAATGCAAATGATGTAGTAAATGCTATACACCATATACTTAAATCATGCGCACAAATTAAGTCGTGCAGCGTGAGTGGGCCTCCGTACTAACCAATCCCATGGCTACGTCTCATTGGCTGAATGAGTACATATGGTGATTGGTTATTGTGCTTTGCTACTACGGAGCCCTGGATGGCACATTCATGCCGCCATGCTTTGCCACGCTCCCTGGCATTGCATTAACACAAGTACATCATGAATACATTCCCATAGTGTGAATGTTCTATAGATGTGTGTGTGTGTGTGTGTGTGTGTGTGTGTGTGTGCGCACAGTGTGTTTACTTTGGGAACTATATTTAATAAATTATGCGTATAACTTAATGGATTGTGTGGACGATTTTAAAAAAGCAATCATGCATGGCATCTCTAGGACTCAATGATATTACAGTGTTGCTGCATTCCTCCCACACATCCATTGCCCAAGCAGTGACTTACTGACTGCTAGCAATCTATTCGTGACCTCACAGTCTATACCGGCTGATAATCTAACGTCCCATCTTAAAACGCATGCTATGATTTCAATATTAAAAAAAATAAAATACTTTATGATGGGATTGCATTCTTTTTGCGTGAATATAATGCACAGGCTCGACCAGCATGTTACTATGTTAAATAAAACACGCTTGGATAATTCTGTGAAGTATTCCATGTTTTGGAGATTGTGGATGCTAGGGGTGACTGTTAGACTTTTGATGTACTGACACCATGTTTTTATACATAGCTTGCTGGAACCCCGATGCTCACAGCCGCCCATCCTTCTCCTGTATCTTGGAGCAGCTGATCACCATTGAACAGTCTGCAATGTTCCAGATGCCACTGGAGTCCTTCCATTCTCTGCAGGAGGACTGGAGACTGGAGATCCAGCAGATGTTCGATGAATTGAGGACAAAAGAGAAGGTAAAGGTCGGGCTCGGAGGTTAGCTGTCTGGGAGGAAACAATGCTTAGCCATCATGTTCTGGGAGGAAACAAAGTTTAGCTGCCATGTTCTGGGAGGAAACAAAGGTTAGCCGCCATGTACTGGGAGGAAACAAAGGTTAGCTGCCATGGACTGGGAGGAAACAATGGTTAGCCGCCATGTACTGGGAGGAAACAAAGGTTAGCCGCCATGTACTGGGAGGAAAAAAAGGTTAGCCGCCATGTACTGGGAGGAAACAAAGGTTAGTCGCCATGTACTGGGAGGAAACAATGGTTAGCTGCCATGTTCTGGGAGGAAACAAAGGTTAGCCGCCATGTACTGGGAGGAAACAAAGGTTAGCTGCCATGTACTGGGAGGAAACAAAGGTTAGCTGCCATGTACTGGGAGGAAACAAAGGTTAGCCGCCATGTACTGGGAGGAAACAAAGGTTAGCCGCCATGTACTGGGAGGAAACAAAGGTTAGCCGCCATGTACTGGGAGGAAACAATGGTTAGCCGCCATGTACTGGGAGGAAACAATGGTTAGCCACCATGTACTGGGAGGAAACAATGGTTAGCCGCCATGTACTGGGAGGAAACAAAGGTTAGCCGCCATGGACTGGGAGGAAACAATGGTTAGCCGCCATGGACTGGGAGGAAACAATGGTTAGCCGCCATGTACTGGCAGAAAACAATGGTTAGCTGCCATGGACTGGGAGGAAACAATGGTTAGCCGCCATGTACTGGGAGGAAACAATGGTTAGCCGTCATGGACTGGGAGGAAACAATGGTTAGCCGTCATGGACTGGGAGGAAACAATGGTTAGCCGTCATGGACTGGGAGGAAACAATGGTTAGCCGTCATGGACTGGGAGGAAACAATGGTTAGCCATCATGGACTGGGAAGAAACAATGATTAGATGTCATGTATAGACTGTAAGCTCGTTTGAGCAGAGTCCTCTTCAACCTATCGTTCCTGTAAGTTTATTTTTAATTGTCTTATTTATAGTGAAATCTCCCCCTTTTATAATATTGTAAAGCGCTACGGAATCTGTTTGCGCTATATAAATGGCAATAATAATGAACTGGGAGGAAACCATGGTTAGCCGTCATGGACTGGGAGGAAACAATGGCCTCCAGTCTCTTCTGTCTGTATCCTACGTGATCAGCATGAGAAACCTGAAGATGGAAGTTAATCTAAATTATAGATGGTGACCAGATCTTCCAAAGGGAACCTATCAGCCGTCAAAAAAAGCAAAGCTTAATACCTTATGCAGTTTATATGAAGGGAGATACCTCCTGAGTTGGTGTTTAAACAGCTCCATCTGTTGATTTTGCTCAAACCTCAGCGTCGCCGGTTAAAGGACCACTATAGTGCCCTGAGGGTGCCCCCACCCTCAGGGTAACCCTCCCGCTGGGCTCTGGAGAGAGGAAAGGGGTTAAACTTACCTTTTTTCCAGCGCCGGGCGGGGAGCTCTCCTCCTCCTGTCCGCCTCCGATCCTCCTCTTCGGCTGAATGCGCATGCGCGGCAGGAGCTGCCAGTCTCATAATGCTTTCCTATGGATGCTGGCGTTTTCTCACTGTGATTTTCACAGTGAGAAGCACGCAAATGCCTCTAGCGGCTGTCAATGAAACTGCTAGGTTTATTTTTTTTAAAAAAGGGTTAATCCTAGAGGGACCTGGCATCCAGACCACTTCATTAAGCTGAAGTGGTCTAGGTGTCTAGAGTGGTCCTTTAATTTACTGGTACAAATTCTCTGGGGTGAGTGTGCCAAGGACACTGCTGACTGGTAGGCCTTTAGTAATTTTGGACTTGAAATAGTGAGCCATTTGCATTGAGTGATAAACCTAATTGTGTCCAAGCCAGATAAAAACAAAATGTGATATTATGTCTGAAAATAATAAAAAATATATTGCAATATTATTCAAACATAACATTGTATTTACATTTAATTATTGAATACTACATAACGGTCATTTATTTTAATGTTAATTGTTCATGTTTCACTTCATTATTTATTGCTATTCTGAAATTTACTCAAATTCAAATAGTTACATTCACAAAATAATCATCTTACTGGGAAGAATACGTTGAAATGTTGCTTGCTAAAGGAACACTCCAGGCACCATAACCACTGTAGCATGCTGGAGTGGTTATGGTGCCAGGAGTAAACTTATGCTCCCCCCCCCCCCGTAAGCAATCAAACAATTTGAGAACAGTTTACTTTGTACATGGGGTTTGTGTGGGTACCACTCACCACCTCCACTGTTTCAGAGAGAGAGCCAGAAGCTGTGTGTTTGCAGGGCTTATCTCACTGGCTGAGCGCGATCAGCTGACGCCAGTTTTCAGGTACAATGTCTGACGGCGCCGGTAGAAAATGTCCTGAGTGATGCAATGGTTATTGCAAAAAATGCATTCACAAGGCAAGATGTACCTTTAACTACTCATTGTGTCTGCAGGAGATGGGGGACAGGGTAAAGGGGCTTTTTTTTTTTTTTTACATTGGGTACATATTTCAAATGATCCGTGTTTTATATAATTAGTACTTAGTACAAACAGTCATTTTGTCTACAATTGAATTGAAAAAGTTTGGCAAAATTCACGGCATTGGAAAACATGTAAAAATAATTGGGGTGGATGTGCCCCCTCCAAAAAGCATCTATATTAAATTAATAATTTCAGGTTTGTTGCCATTTTATTACATCTCACACATTGATTAATGAGGTCTCTCAGAATGCCGTCAATAAACTAATATTGTCACTGGCCTGTTTCCTTAACAAGAACTGCACATTATTACAAATCATGCAAAGGGTTAAATACGGGAGTGTAAATTAACACATGGATTTTATAACCTGGAAAAATTACATGAATTAAACAGTTTAATGTTTTATTTCATTTTAGTTTTACTTCTTTTTTTATTTTACATTAAATTTCTCTCCATTCTCCATTAGGAGCTGCGCAGTCGGGAAGAGGAGCTTGTACGAGCTGCTGAGGAGCAGAGGAACCTGGAGGAGATGTTGAGGAGGAGGGAGCAGGAGCTGGCTGAGAGAGAGATCGATATTGTGGAGCGGGAGCTGAATATAATTATGTACCAAATGTATCAGGAGAAGCCTAAAGTGAAGAAACGGAAGGGCAACTTCAAAAAGAGCCGCTTAAAGCACAAGGATGGAAATCGTATCAGCTTACCCTCAGGTAGACAGCAGCTATGGGCCATACCATGATTTGCAGTGGGGTACGATAGAGGCCTGTGAGAGCAAACTGTTAACAACAGGGGCTAATCTAAAGGTTTATGGAACTAATAATTTCATGCAGAGTGGATACTACAAAAGCCTTTGGGAAAAATCAATTTCCTGTAATTTGAAATCAGGCTTATTGAGAACAAACCATGTTCAGCAGTGGGGAAACTTGGAGGCCAGTTCAGGTATAGGGGATATTATAAAGCCTATGTGAGTAAAACATTTGCAATGAAGTGGAATGAATCCTACAAGTACGTAGAAAGCATAGAGAACAAATCATTTTTTGATACAGTGGATAAAGTAAGTATTCTGTCAAAGGTTTAAAATATCCGTACTCGAGGAAATTTAGATAAAGGACAACAGTCTTGGAATTTTATACACAAATACATTAAAAAATATAGTTTGTTGTGAAAGATAAAACGCTGTTCAAAACATCTATGTGAGACGGCGTCAACCAACACACCAATAAATGTAACGCCTGGTCCTGGTATTGTAAGAGCACAGGGAATTGTGTCTCGTTTATCTGCACAATTATTTTATCTCTCCTTTTATACAATCCCAAATGTCCAAACTGCCCGTCATATTATAGCTCCGCATTTATAGTGTGCTGTTGTACAATTCTCATTTTTATTGCATTTAATGAAACTTATTGAAATATTTTGATATTTATTTATTTATTTATTTTTTTAGAGAAAATGTCCTCTTCTTTCTGTCTGAGCGGCCATGTTGGGTCGGACTCGACCGTTATCTGACCAACTGCTGCTCCACCTAACGTGCTGTAACTGCTGCAGGTTCACACAGAGCGATCACAGCAGCAGCAAGTTAGGCTGAGCAGAAGTTGGTCGGATAACGGTGGAGTCCTACCCAACATGGCCGCTCAGACAGATAAAAAGTTTGTCTTTCTCAAATAGAATCAATATTCATCAATTCAAAAATATTTAATTGTTTTATTAAAAAATATAAACTTATAAACATGGATAGTGAAAATTTGATGTCCGCTGTCCTTTAATGTTGTGTATATCTAAAGAGTATAATTTGAGCAAAACTATTTGCTGTCACAGGGAGTCTATAAAGATCTGTGGAGAGCATTATTTTATTTCTATTTACAATTGTTACTCCTGTAACGATTTTGATTCATTTATTTGGAGAGGAGGAGGTCAACTGACCTTTTAGGGTACATGGTTGTTGTATGTGAGGGCCATGTGATGATCTTGGCGTGCAAAATATTCACACTTGTTTTTTTCTTCCTTAGGTTTTGAACATAAAATAACGGTACAGGCATCCCCGACCTTGGACAAGTGCAAAGGTCAAGGGACGAGTAACTGCAGCCCCCCAGGAAGTCCTCTCCTAATCCCACGGCTTCGAGCCATCCGATGTATGTTATTCTGCTATTTCCTGCAGAAACCTAGCTATTATTTATTTCAAAAAATAAAAAAACCTGCCATTTATACACCCTACACTCGTTAAAATGAGGGCTCAACAGCACCAGGCAGGATCAGGAAACCTGGTATCGTGTTATAAAATATTACATTAAGGCCTTATCCTGTGGGAGCAGACCTTCCTCAAGCCAGTGGGTCTGTAATGGAGAAGCTCCAGGAATGTGGATAGTCAGTCAATAGGTTTTTGTATGTTTAGTAACGCTGGGTGCCTGGCTTTGATTAAGATAGTTGGTTTATTGAAGACGGTTTTCCAGTGATATTGTTTAGCCTGGGTTTGATTAGGAAGAGCGGAGAGATCTCCTAAGCATCAATCCTCTAGATAAGTAGTTCCAAAATCAGTCTTCCTAGTCCACCAACAAGTTTTATTCCAATACAGATACTGACCATGCCTGAACTGTTGGTGGCTCGTTAGGACTGGTTTGGGAACCACTGCTAGATAAAGCTATTGTGGCACTCATTGTTTATTAAGGCCACAAATCCCAGCGCACTTTGTGGTTATCTATACTAAGGCTACCCAGCATGCCATGACCAGGCTGCTGTGTGACGGAGATGGCCCATGAAAAGCATGTCTGAGCAGGACCTACTCTAAACTTAGTCTTAACTCGATTCAGCTCTTTTCTACTCAATTCCAACTGAAACATGTTGGGTGTGTGATGGATTACGGGGTAGCAATGTGACTAAATGGGATTATTGCACTACTTAAATCCCAGGAAGCTAAAGATATCAATGGAAAACCATAGGCATCTTATTTGTACAACTTCCTCGATTTAATATTTTTTTTATCAGCTTTTCAATGGTTTACAATTTTTGGATAAAATTTTACAATGGTCATATATATATATATTTGTGTACAGCACAATAGAGGACGTATGAAATAATAAGAAAGAAGCAAAATGTGGTAAGAGCAAAGTCAGTTGAGGTGTGCCGAAACTGACGTGAGTTTAGACCTGTAAAAGAGGGCCCACCTAGGTGAAGTGAGAATAAATAGAGGGTGCGGTGGGTTCATAGTGTCTCCCACAATTACAGGCCAAGCTTTCTATATATATATATATATCTATATATATATCTATATATATATATATATATATATATATATATATATATATATATATATATATATATATATATATATATATATATATATATATATATATAATATATATAGATATATACATATAATTTATTTATTGTTTTCTTATATTAAAATTTATATATATTATATTTCTTGATATTTTAATATTTTGAAAAAAATATTTTTAATGTTTATCTAAAAATATTACTCATCTGCAAAGCTTATCCAAAAAATATTAAATTGAAGCTATAACCATCTATCCTTGGTCAATAATTGTGGGTACTCAAATCATTTTTATGCAGGCTGCAATAGTGTTTAGGAAGGTCCTTAGTTGGCTGTGGAACACGGGAGAGCTACAACTTGACTTCCTTTTAGGTCAAATCAGAACAATAGCCTTGTGACAAAATCCCCATTTGTAGAGCTGTAAAGGGCAAATAAATCCTGATTATTTTGATGTGTGCGTGGTTTCTTTTACATTATAGTGACCCCAGTGGATGGCAGTAAGACATGGGGACGTAACTCCATCGTCAAAAAAGAGGAGGTGACTTCCAACAAGAAGAAAGGCCGGACGTGGGGCCCCAGCTCTACTCAGCCCAAGGAGCGAGCTGGTGGTGAAGAGAGGTAAAGATGGCAAGTGTACATCCCTTCAGTTCCTAACCTTCTTCTGAGAGCCACCAGCATCCAGAGTGAAGGCACCTTTGGTGTCTCTTTAACACCACTGGAGTCTGGCTTTTGTCACAGTCTGCATGGATCAGACCCGCTAGGCCGGCCTGCTAAGCTCACTTCAGTGTTAAGCTTTTCACCAGGATGGGGCTGGTATAACCTCAGGACAAATCCGTTTTTGTTGGAGTCCAAATGATGACACCTCTGTGGTGAATAAACAAAGTGTTGTGACACTCCTGGGGACAGGTATGGGAACCATCTTACCTCCTGGTAGTTTCTGGGTGAAGGCCCAAAAACCCCAGGTAATAATATTCAGCATAAAGTCCAACAGGAAGGATACATATTGAAGTTTTAATGAAGGAACAAATACAAATGATGTATTAAAGCCAATAAGTATCCTTACTGTTGGACCTGTGGGCTTATACTGAACACCTCTCTGGTGAATAAATAGTTTTCTGTTTATTAAAACTTTTTTATTTGGACTTAGAATAGCTTTCCAAAAGATGAAGAAAGCTGCCAGCCTGGAGTAATTCCATTTTCTGAGCAGAATATACGGTTCTGATCCAGGTTCATGTATTTTCTCTCAAGATAGGACATATCTGGTACCCCAGTACTTGGTAATATAGAGCATTCGTAGCACTCTGTAATATAGAGAATCCCTGGCACTCTGTGAATTGGGGCACCCTAGAATTTGGTAATATTTGGCCTCCTTGGTATTTGGTAATATAGAGCATTCATGGTATTTGGTAATATAGAGAATCCCTGGTACTCTGTGAATTGGGGCACCCTAGAATTTGGTAATATTTGGCCTCCTTGGTATTTGTTAATATAGAGCATTCATGGTATTTGGTAATATAGAGAATCCCTGGCACTCTGTGAATTGGGGCACACTAGAATTTGGTAATATTTGGCCTCCTTGGTATTTGGTAATATAGAGCATTCATGGTATTTGGTAATATAGAGAATCCCTGGCACTCTGTGAAATGGGACACCCTAGAATTTGGTAATATTGGGCCTCCTTGGTATTTGGTAATATAGAGCATTCATGGTATTTGGTAATATAGAGAATCCCTGGTACTCTGTGAATTGGGGCACCCTAGAATTTGGTAATATTTGGCCTCCTTGGTATTTGGTAATATAGAGCATTCATGGTATTTGGTAATATAGAGAATCCCTGGCACTCTGTGAATTGGGGCACACTAGAATTTGGTAATATTTGGCCTCCTTGGTATTTGGTAATATAGAGCATTCATGGTATTTGGTAATATAGAGAATCCCTGGCACTCTGTGAAATGGGACACCCTAGAATTTGGTAATATTGGGCCTCCTTGGTATTTGGTAATATAGAGCATTCATGGTATTTGGTAATATAGAGAATCCATGGCACTCTGTGAATTGGGGCACACTAGAATTTGGTAATATTGGGCCTCCTTGGTATTTGGTAATATAGAGCATTCATGGTATTTGGTAATATAGAGAATCCCTGGCACTCTGTGAAATGGGACACCCTAGAATTTGGTAATATTGGGCATCCTTGGTACTTTGTAATATAGGACATACCTTCCCTGATGAAGTAAGCGCAGTCCTACGAAAGCGTAGGAATTCAGTGATCGCCATAGTGTTTGCTGTCTGTATTGACGTCTCCCGGATACCATACCGGTGTAGCAGGTGTGTATGCACTGTGGTCTGTGGGTGGTGGAAACCACACTGGCATTTACCATATATCACAATTGGTTTGCTGTATCTATAGTGCCTGTACATTCGCACATCACTCGGTAGTACCTTGGTTTGGGTTTTTAATGCATTTTATGGTTCAATAAACATATTAAACTGCACTTCTATTCCTGATATTATCTACGTACCTCGTATAATAAAAAGCCATTGGAAATCAAGGCTGATCTTTTGTTAAAGATGATCATTTTCCTATTCTGCAGGTTGAAATCCTTGGGAGAAGGCAGCAAGCAGTGGTCTAGCAGTGCACCAAACCTTGGAAAATCGCCCAAGCATACCCCCATTAGTGCGGGCTTTGCCAGCCTCACCGAGATGGGTACGTACCTGAAATTGGAACAACAAAAGGCTTATTTGTTTGGGGTTGATATCAAGGCCTGGAAAAAAGAAGTGTATTCTTTCCATAAACCCTTTAAAGCTTATACCGCATCTCACATTAAAGAGGCGGCAATCCCATTTCTAATATATATTATTATGTATAACGTTCTTTCTATCTAAGTTTACCAATCCCATATCAGCAATTCTGTTTATAGGAGGATTTCATTCACAGCAGCGCCCCCTAGTGATTTTTCCGAAGCAGGTTCAGAGCGGCAGCCAAGATTGCGTCCCATGATTATAAATTGTGCTTCCTGAATGCGTGCACCGCCAGTGTAACCGCTCACCATTTTCATGTAAAACGCATTGCTGCCACACTGTTACAGACAGTAATTACATACAAGGAGCCGGCACATCTCTGGCTCTACTCCAGGACGGGGAATACAGTCTGTTTGTTGGGGTGGCTGACATTCAAAATCAGATATTCTGTATAAAAGGGGATTTATAAAGAATAAAATTCAAACCGTAACTTGCCATATGGACCCTAATTTATGCATTTCCTTTGTGCAAGGTTTCTGGAATCAGCCAGTGTATATTATTTAATTATATATATCAGCTGGTGTATATTATTCTATTATATATCTATATTAGCGTATATTATATATCTATATTAGCATTTATATATCTATATTAGCTGGTGTACATTATATTAATATATATATATCTCTATTAGCATATATATATGTTAGCCAGTGTATATTATATTATTATATATATTAGCCGGTGTATGTCATATTTTTATAAATATATTAGTTTGTGTATATTAATATATATCTATATTAGCCGATTATTTTATTATCTCCTTGTCAGAGGAATACACAGATTCCGATGGTTCTGTTCCCCAATCTCCATATTCGACTCCATCCTACCTCTCGCTGCCTCTCCAGTCCGATGGGAAACACCACACCGAGGACGCGGGACTCTCCGCATCCTCTGCGTCTGACAGCCCTAAACGTGGATCCCGCAGGAAGAGTGAGCTGGTTTTACTGGGGTGTGCATCACTTTTGGCTGCTGTCGCCCTAGGAAGCGACCTGTCGGAACTGGTGCCACAGGAAGAGAAAAGAAAGGGCATCTTCCAGTGGGGAGGGAAAGGTCCTAGGAAGGGATCCAGCTCGCCCAGCCGAACCTTGAATAAAGGAGAAGAAGCAGTTATTCCACCCACCTCGGTGACTCTCATCTCATTGTCTTCCCTCTCGGACTGCAATTCCACCCGATCCCTTATTCGTTCGGACAGTGAAGATACCGGTTTGGGGACAGACAACACGCCCAGCAGGCATGGTGGGTCAGAGAAGGACAGAGGCAGTCAAGGCAGCTCTGGATATAACCCACTGGTAGACTACAAGGTAGAAAGCTTCAAGAAAGATCCACGGCAGTCTCTGACTCCTACCCATGTTACTGCGGCGAGAGCCAACTCCACCGTCGGCAAAGGCCACAGACGGACTCCATCTGATGGGGCCATAAGGCAGGTGACGCCAGGCCACAAACGTTCTCCTTCAGATGGCAGTACCCCTCAGCTCTGTGACACAGGTCAGTGACGCCACCTAGTGGCTAAATGAAAAGGGAACATTTACGCTCCATGAACAATGTGGGTAAATTAATCATTCAGTTTCAGTCTTTTGATCTGTATTTGTCATATTGAGAGAGTGATTAGTCTCCAGTTTACCCTAATGTCAGGGCTGTAATCTGCTAATTTAATAAAACAATGGCTGAAGACCGATCAGGCTCCCAGTAACGGCACCTTCATTCTAAATATCTGCTACCAGCGGGTACAGGCCGAACCTGAGTCTGCATGGTAACCCGTGGCAAGGCAGGTGTCTTTTGGACTTCATTCCCATAATGCTTAGCACCCGTTAAACTGTCTGAGAGTCATGGAGCATGTAGTCCACACATATAGCTCTTTACCAGCAAACCAGTTATTTCCTCATCTGTTACCGATGTCCTTCCTAATATTACCCCTTTATAGCCCATCGTGGTAATTCTGGGGAGCGACCGGTCCATGGTTCTTTTACCATTCTTCGTGAAAACAATCATTTCTCAGTGATCTTAGTGAAGTCACATGCATTGCCATTATTACTATACAAATAACTAAGAGAGGCTGGATACAAGTTACTTTACTTGGTGATCTGTATATTGATATACTGTGAGACACCATTATATTGTGTGTTGTTTCCTCTATTACTTACTAATAAAATCTTTACTAACAGGGAAATTTATCACCATTCAGCCAAAACCCTAAGAACCTGCCCATTCACCATCAGACCCTGAGAATCTGCTATTTACTAAGAGACCCTGAGAATCTGCCCATTCACCCTCAGACACAGATAGTCTGCCATTTACTAAGAGACCCGGAGAATCTGTCCATTCACCTTCGAAAACAGAGAATCTGCCATTCACTAAGAGACCTGAGAATCTGCCCATTGACCGTCAGATACAGAGAATCTGCCTCTTTTATCCAATTTACCGTGGGAACTTGAGAATGTGCCCATTCCCCTCCCCATTCCAGGACCCTGAGAATTAGTGAATTTCGCCTGAGATCTCTTCTCTGCGAACTTAAAAGACCCAAGAATACAGTTCAGTCTTTCCTTAAGTCACCATAAGTCTTGGGGTCACCCAGAGTGGTTCGTGTTTAGTTGGTGATTTTTCTCTAATTTGTCTATTCAGGATGTTTTTCTCAATTTTATCTCACAGGTTCCAAAGATTCCTCTCCCTTTCCTCGTCTACCAGATCCCCACTTTGTGTTTCCACCCCCATCCCGACGTAAGCCAACAGACAAGGACTTGGCTGTAGAAAGACCGACCACCCTTGAATTTGCTCCTAGACCTCGTCCATCCGCCAGCCGACCTCGTCTGGACCCCTGGAGATTTGTCTCCATCTCAAGGACACAGAGTTCCTCCACTCCGAGTAGTGGTGGGGATGAGCCCACCAGCGGGTCTACAGATGGCATGCGGGTGGGGGGAACGGAGGAGACCTTGCTTGACATGGAAGTGGAAGGGCAGAGCCTGGACAGCACTGTACCCCTTTGTGGAGTGGGGATAGGGCCTCAGACTGACCCTTGTTATAATATGGATACAGACGTGTCTTAACATCAGTGACTGCTGACATGGAGTATTACAAGGCCGCCATTTTCACAGCGAGAAGGGGGTCTTTATGAATGTATTTTGTGGTTGAAAAACAACGGGTATAACTAGGAATTATTTAGGTGATATAAAAGCTGCAGGGACCCTATGGACCAAGACTGATAAACTTCAGCTTTCCAATTGCTGCTGGACTGCAAATCTCATCACCATCAATCAGCTTCCAACAGCTGGTGGACCGTAGGGCCCGGCCGCGTGCGGCTCCATCCGCACCGTGTGGGATTCGAATGGCTCCCTTAATTTAACTACATGTAACTGTCTTACAGAGAGGGATAGCACTCCAGCTATTCAACGGGTCAGGAGGGAGGGGGGCAGTAATAATCTGCATGAGACAGATCTATTAATAAAATATGTCGCCACTCTCAGTGTTAATATTAAATCTCGATATTCGATAAAATCATGCATTAGATGCAGGCCCAGCTGTCAATAAATAAATCTGGATCATGTATTCCGTTCGTATAAGTATCGATGAACCGGTGACGTCTAGCGAATATTAATCACAATCAGTTTCTGAAGAAAGAAAGCAAAATGTATTTATGACCAAGTATCAATGTCTCCAAACATGGGAAGAATAAATGCGATATTAAGGCTTTGTCACAGTCATTCATTTTTCCTTCCACTGAAGATGGAACCTTGCTTACCAGTAATTATCTTACTGCATTCATCTTCTTTTGGAAAAAGAGTAGCCTTAAACCGGTATTTGTGTAACCCGATTGCCCTACGCTAGACATGGTGCTGGACTTAGCTCCTGTCCTAGAAGATTGGCCGCCTACGATTGTGCTTTGTCTAATGTCCAGGGTTGTCCTTTCCTTATTAGAATTACCTATGGTTTGGTGATTTCAGCACAATTATCAAGAAACTTTCGGAAGTAGTTTGTCTTCCAAGAAAAGAATGAAGTTCCTTTCAGTTGATAGGAGTCTTAATTTTGAACATTGCTTTAAATGTATATTTTGAGGGTTTAGGCCTTTAACGCTAATCTAACATCCCTAGTGATTTACCTTAGTTCGGAACCATTGGGCCTTTTATAAAATCATTTTTACAACTACTTGAGTAAAATAGGTCGAACTTTCTTCAGGTTCTCTTCAAATATTCTACTTTTGATAATGAAGAGTGGTCAGATCCCCTACATTAGATATAAACCTAGCGCTGTCTGAGCCTGCCCTGATAACGTGCGGTCAGATCCCCTACATTAGATATAAACCCAGCGCTGTCTGAGCCTGTCCTGATAACGTGCGGTCAGATCCCCTACATTAGATATAAACCCAGCGCTGTCTGAGCCTGTCCTGATAACGTGCGGTCAGATCCCCTACATTAGATATAAACCCAGCGCTGTCTGAGCCTGTCCTGATAACGTGCAGTCAGATCCCCTACATTAGATATAAACCCAGCGCTGTCTGAGCCTGTCCTGATAACGTGCGGTCAGATCCCCTACATTAGATATAAACCCAGCGCTGTCTGAGCCTGTCCTGATAACGTGCAGTCAGATCCCCTACATTAGATATAAACCCAGCGCTGCCTGAGCAGTCAGATCCCCTACAGTCCTGAGCCTGTCCTGATAACGTGCAGTCAGATCCCCTACATTATATACAAACCCAGCGCTGTCTGAGCCTGTCCTGAGAACGTCCCCTACATTAGATATAAACCCAGCGCTGTCTGAGCCTGATATAAACCCAGCGCTGTCTGAGCCTGTCCTGATAACGTGCAGTCAGATCCCCTACATTAGATATAAACCCAGCGCTGTCTGAGCCTGTCCTGATAACGTGCAGTCAGATCCCCTACATTAGATATAAACCCAGCGCTGTCTGAGCCTGTCCTGGTAATGTGCAGTCAGATCCCCTACATTAGATATAAACCCAGCGCTGTCTGAGCCTGTCCTGATAACGTGCAGTCAGATCCCCTACATTAGATATAAACCCAGCGCTGTCTGAGCCTGTCCTGGTAACGTGCGGTCAGATCCCCTACATTAGATATAAACCCAGCGCTGTCTGAGCCTGTCCAGATAACGTGCAGTCAGATCCCCTACATTAGATATAAACCCAGCGCTGTCTGAGCCTGTCCTGATAGCGTGCGGTCAGATCCCCTACATTAGATATAAACCCAGCGCTGTCTGAGCCTGTCCTGATAACGTGCGGTCAGATCCCCTACATTAGATATAAACCCAGCGCTGTCTGAGCCTGTCCTGGTAATGTGCGGTCATGTGCCTTATATAATATCTCAAATTTCGTGAGGTTTGAATATACCACATGTGGAGGGGTTTCTTTGAACTTGGTTTGATGTTATAATTAGGATATTCATTAAAAGTGAGTAATTAAATATTCAGAGATAAGCCCAGAAATGTGGTTAAAATGTAATCCTTGTCTGAAAAAAAAAAAAGAAAGGCTCCAAAAAAATGGAAATGATTAAATTCAGACATTTATCAAACAAACTGCCATTGAATAGGCACAGTAGATACGTATGCTGGTGGAAAAGTGGTTACATTACAGTATTTAAAAATGAAGATTTAAATAAAACATTGGAGCCAGACCTCCTATTATTCTAAGGGGAGAGCAGGAAATCACTTAATCTGTGTTAAGAATCCAATCAATTAATTAATCTTTTTAATAAAAAGGGGCCAGGTTGGTTAACGAGAGTGTGCAACAGACTTCATTTCTTTTAAATAAATGTATTTATTTTAATGATTTATATTAATTGTTTATTTAATTATTATTATTAAACTCTGGGACCTCAGAGCATTGTGGGAAGATTTCGATCATTTCAGAGGTTGATACATTTTGTGAATATCTTTGTGAATTTTTGCCTTCAAATTGCTCTGATTGATACTAAAACTGTGGATGTTCATGGCCATAAATTGTACGCTGACTGCCACGTACATGATGCAACAGATAACGCCACGTGCAAGGCATTGTTTGTTCATATTTAATACCATGTTTGGTTGTTTAGTAGCGTGGGAACCGTACTCCACAATATCTGGAGGACCAAATGGAGATTGCGTGTCTGATAGGTTTCCTATGGCACTTCCTAAGAGACATCTCTGACTGTCGGAATTTAAACTGTCAAGTTCTCTGAATTAACCCCCTGCTGAGGAAGGAGGTAAGTTTGCAGCTCAGGAAGTGTCATATCAGGTATAAATCAATAATTGTAAATGAATTACAGAGGAATTGTAAGTTTATGCTGAAATAGCTCGGCTAGAATTAGAGTTCTGCTCGCCCTGGCTCCTCTCCAAGCACCATGCTGCTGGAGTACCCAGCTGCCCACCCCTCTCCCCCATTGTAAGGAGTCACTTCACTGCAGTGCAAAGCTGAGCTCATTGGCTGAGAGTGTCAGCTAGGAGACTCCCACCCATTACTGGGAGCAGAGTATCGTAAAATGGACAATTTACACAGCATTGTACCAGGCACTCTACTCTACACACCACCTGCTCCACCTTCTCAGACTCTCTCCCCTACCAATGGCTACTCTACACATCACCTGTGCCACCTTCTCAGCTTTCTCCCCTACCAATGACTTCTCTACACGCCACCTGTGCCACCTTCTCAGCTTCTCTCCCCTACAAATGGCTTTTCTACACGCCACCTGTGCAACTTCTCAGCTTCTCTCCCCTACCAATGGCTTCTCTACAAACCATCTGTGCCACCTTCTCATCTTCTCTCTGCTACCAATAGCCACACCACCTGTGCCACCTACTCAGCTTCTCCCCCTTACCAATAGCCACTCTGCACACCACCTGTGCCACCCTCTCAGCCTCTCTCCCCTACCAATAGCCACTCTACACACTACCTTTGCCACCTTCTCAGTTTCTCTCCTGTACCAATTGCCACACTACACACCACATGTGAAACTTCTCAGCTTCTCTTCCCTACCAATGACTTCTCTACATGCCAGCCTCTTAGCTTCTCTCCCTTACCAATGGCTACTCTACACAACACTTGTGCCACATTCTCAAACTCTCTCCCCTACTAATAGCCATTTTACACACCGACTGTGCCACCTTCTCATCTTCACTCTGCTAACAATAGCCACTCTACACACCACCTGTGCCACCTTCTCGGCTTCTCCCCCTAATAATGGCTTCTCTACACACCACCTGTGCCATCTTCTCAGTTTATCTCCTGTACCAATAGCCACTCTACACACCACATGTGCAACTTCTCAGCTTCTCTTCCCTACCATTAGCCACTCTACACGCCACCTTCTCAGCTTTCTTCCCTACCAATGGCTACTCTACACATCACCCGTGCTACCTACACAGCTTCTCCCCCCTACCAATGGCTTCTCTTCACGCCACCTTCTCAGCTTCTCTCCCCTACCAGTGGCTACTCTACACACCACCTTCTCAGCTTCTCTCCCGTACCAATGGCTGGTCTACACACCACCTGCGCCACCTGCTCAGCTTCTCTCCTTTACCAATGGCTAATCTACACACCACATGTGCAACTTTCCAGTGACTTTAAAGCATTACTGTATTATTATTATTCCCCCCCCCCACTTTTGTCTCCTTAATTACAGATATCAATTGTACAGTATAACAGGCTGTAAGTATACACACTTGTAGACACCCTATAAGGGATCACACTTGCTTGCATTGTATCATCTGTTTGTAAATACTAATCAACACTTGAGGGGTTCTGTACATATGTATGCGCACCAGCGCTTTTCTGTTTTGTGATTGTTTCTGTACCTTATTACCTGGGTATATTGTGGGTGCTGCAAACCTATTTAGATTTTATCTTAATTTTTTGCGCCAACTTATCTACTGCATATTTTTTCTGTATTATTATTATCATCATCATTCATTCATATCCAGGAATTTTTGCAGAGCTTTACAATCATGGAGATATTTAACAAGTAACCAACAAGCAAAAATAACATTGACCGACACAAGCGGTAAAAAAGGCTATGCTAAAAAGAGCTTACAATCTAGGAGGAAGAGATGTGAAAGGAGTAACGGAATGCCAAATGAACAACATGTCAGGGGGAGGAGAGGGCAATAAATATTACGCCTGTGTCGGGTGAAACTTGTAAAACCAGTGTGTGAATGAAAAGTTCTGCGTCACAGAGGCCGAGGATGTGGAGGGTTTCTATGAGAAATCAGCAGCAGAGAGTAATGACCTCTGGATTTAGTAAATCATTAGCCAGACACGTTGTTAAGGGCCAGAAGCCAGATTGAAGAGAATTGCAATAATATTCACTAAAGTGAGAGTTCAATTAATTTCAAATTTAAGGCCAAATTAGCCAAACTAGAAACATTCTCTAACTCAGCTATACTTTCAGTTCTGCTCCTTGAATCCACTCTGAATTCTAGCGTTGGTAAATAACCCTGTTCGTATTGATGGGTAAACGCGTTAGAAGTCTTAGGAGTGATGGGGAGAATCGATATGGGACCCTAGTTGGAAGGTGAAAACAATTTGCTGAGACACTTCCTGGAGATATATTAAAATGTCAGAGTTTTACATCTAGTTTTCTGTGAAAATTTGGCACAATTTATTAATTCTGACTTGTTTTGTGCCCTGTCATTTCTTAATATACAGCATTTTTGGGCAACACCGTATTTATTATTATTTTATTATTTATATAGCGCTATCAGATTCCATAGCGCAGTGGGTATTTAGCAATCTTTATGAAACTTTTTCAGACAGAAAAAACTGTAACTTGCCAACTGGCACGCAATAATGCACACATGTACTGCTACACATACATACACAACCTACTACACAAATACACACACAGATATATACATACACACTGATATACCCAGACACACTGTTACTGATACCTATTCTGAAGGATGTGCTGTGATCTATATATACCTGTGAGTGTCACCATGAGCTTCAGGTGAAAGTTCCCCACTTCTGAGTTTGTTTCTAACTTTTTGCCACGTGCTATTTGTTAATATTTACAATTTTGCATGATTCCTTTATCTTTTTTTTGCATATTCACTGGCGTTATTGGAATTGTTGATATCCCTGGGCGGGAATTGTAACGCCACATGCTTATTACTCCAGGGGAAAGATACCGGTGAGTCTATTTCCTATTTGCAGTTATGCACTAAATATGCTTCAGGTCATTTCTACAGTTGAACATAATTAAAGTCATTAGTGAATCCGACACTACTTGCAATCTAACCTGGCTCCCAGCGTAGCAGCCGTGTGGGGAAACCGTCTGATCTGGTTGCCAGCAATATGGGACAGGAGCCAAAAACATGGACCTTTCCTGGCAAAAACGGGACAGTTGGCAATTATCAAAGAAGTAGGGCCACAAAATGTTTTTTTTTTCGGATAGGATTGAAAACTGTATGTTTGAGGGAAGCTGGAGAGAAAGAGTAGAGGAGAACAACTGGGGAAGAGGAACATAGGAGGAGAACAAGTGAGTGATGGGGAGATTAGAGCGAACATGTGATGGATGGGGAGAAAGGAGGAGAACAATTGTGTGAAGCAGGGAGGAACAGGAGATAAATGCACATGTATCTCCTGATCAGAGCCAAATAAAAGGAATTTAGACTGGGAAAAAGAACAGAGGTGGAGGGGGGAACATCTTTTTTAATTTGGTCAGTCCGGTCAATAAAGTGACCTGCAAAATAAATATCTGGCTGTGAGATTAGTGTGAGATGGGGTCTCTGTGGTATGGAATTAGTGTGAGATGGGGTCTCTGTGGTATGGAATTAGTGTGAGATGGGGTCTCTCTGGGATGGAATTAGTGTGAGATGGGGTCTCTGTGGGATGGAATTAGTGTGAGATGGGGTCTCTGTGGGATGGAATTAGTGTGAGATGGGGTCTCTGTGAGATGGAATTAGTGTGAGATGGGGTCTCTGTGGGATGGAATTAGTGTGAGATGGGGTCTCTGTGGGATGGAATTAGTGTGAGATGGGGTCTCTGTGGGATGGAGTTAGTGTGAGATGGGGTCTCTGTGGGATGGACTTAGTGTGAGATGGAATTAGTGTGAGATGGGGTCTCTGTGAGATGGAATTAGTGTGAGATGGGGTCTCTGTGGGATGGGGTCTCTGTGGGATGGAGTTAGTGTGAGATGGGGTCTCTGTGGGATGGAATTAGTGTGAGATGGGGTCTCTGTGGCATGGAGTTAGTGTGAGATGGGGTCTCTGTGGGATGGAATTAGTGTGAGATGCGGTCTCTGTGGGATGGAATTAGTGTGAGATGCGGTCTCTGTGGGATGGAGTTAGTGTGAGATGGGGTCTCTGTGGGATGGAGTTAGTGTGAGATGGGGTCTCTGTGGGATGGGGTCTCTGTGGGATGGAATTAGTGTGAGATGGGGTCTCTGTGGGATGGAATTAGTGTGAGATAGGGTCTCTGTGGGATGGAGTTAGTGTGAGATGGGGTCTCTGTGGGATGGAGTTAGTGTGAGATGGAGTTAGCATGGGACGAGGTCGCTGTGGGATGGAGTCACTGTTGGATTAAGTTACATAACTGCTTCTTCTTCAGCGTTTTGAATCATTTTCAGTAAATCACTGATACTCGTGGGGGAAACTTGGTAGCTGCCAGGACTCACAGCAATATGTTATTATTACCCTAGAAAGAGAAATCTGGCTGTGCCATCAAAATGTATATCCAGTTTATTAATAGTGACAGCAAGCCAGCAATGACTGGTACAGTTACAGTAACAAACCATGTTTATTTAGAAATGCTATGAGGGGAATAAAATATCAAATAATGCTAATTATGCAGATTTCATATTGGTTTTCCAGCGTCAATACACACATTAGATTTTATTAGACTCGCGCACCGTGCCAGAGCCCTCTATCATACTGACTAGATTGCGATTTTGTAGACTGATTATTTATAATTTGTGAGCCTTTTGGGTGCTGGGGGTGATTTTTTAATTTTGAGCCGTGAAGCTCGGTAAGGTGTAAGAGACAAGATCTGTCTGGAAACCTTAAATCCCGATTTTATTAAAGACACGGAGGCGAGTAAATGTAACATTTGAACAGTTATAAACATCATATCTGACAATGTCCGCCTAGTAACATGACCCTCCAATCAGTGACATCCCTTTCCTATAGTAGGCGGAGCATCGATGACCACTTCCTCTTTCTTTGCTGCTCCCTCAGATAAATAGAACTCTCACAATGCTCCAAAACTGTGACACCTATTGTGATTGTAATATATTTAATCTTTGGTTATAACCATATTTATTTAACATATTTATATAACTGTGTGGTACCTTTAAATACTAAACCCTATTTGTGGTACCTTTAATAGTTCTTAAATAATATTTTCTGGTATTAGTCCTGTTGTTAATCTTGTTATTAATCCTGTTTTTAATCCTGTGAGAACCTTTATATTTTATTCTTAATCAGTTGCTTATATACACTGTGTGTGATTAACTGTAACTGCTTGTCGCGGGTTCGGATTCCCGCGTAACCGCGCATGCGCATCCCATCTGAAGCGCACAGCGGCCATCTTACAACCTGGCTGTTTTGCCCTGTCGGAACGGTTTCCGACCGCGCACACAGCCATCGCTGAGCCTTCCCCATTATCGGTCACCTCGTTTCTGAAGCACCTTGGCCCCCCTTTCACCACGGCAGCATCTCTTAGTGCACACTTCTTCCGCGGTGGCCATTTTATCGCCGTTTTCCCACCCAATCTGTTACCCAACCTTCCTTAGTTTTACCTCATTAACTGGTTGGGGATGAAACTGTTTTTCCCTCATCTGAGGAAATTCAGACAATTATGGGCACTACTGTGTCAAAAGCCTTGGCTTCTGCAATGGACATTATGTCCTCATCTCTGTCAAAATCTTTCGCACATGCGATTTTACAGGCTCAATCAGCGGTCCCTCCGGCAGCTATACCAGCCGCGATACCAGCAGACTCTCACCCTACACACCCCAGCCGCAAGGCCTCTGCAAAAATAAAGCACTCCTCCAAAAAAATGATGGACAGTTCTAAACCTATCTCAGATGGCGTGAATAATCCACCGCGCAAACGAGCCTCTAGCCGGGCAAAAGCGGCTAGGCATTGGAAATGGGCTAAAGCCCAACCAGATTGTACTGAGTCCGAACTCAGCTCAGACGAGGAGAGTGTGTTGTCACTGGCATCAGACCAGTCTAATGAGCTATCTGACTTAGATTCAGATTACGGATTTGGCGAGGATTCAAAAGCCTCTACCGATTTACATATCGCAGGCACATCTAACCCTGACCTAAATAAAGGGGATAAGATACTCGACCCACAGGGCGAACCCCTGTTTGAACCCAATGATTTGCGCCACCCCCGCTCAGCTGAGTGGTCGCCAGCGGAACATGTGGCACAATATGTGGCATCCCGGGTCCGCAAGCCTCTAGAGAAAGCGACCCGAAATAAGCTAAGGGCTGAATGCCCACGCCCCACTGTTCCTGATTAGGCCTGTAAGACACCCCTAGTTGATCCCCAAATTATCCAATTCCTGAGTAAAACAGGATTGAAGCCGAAAAAAGGCTTGGATTTTTAATTATATATTTGCCAGGACAAGGTCCTAGATATATTGGGACTAGCAACCAAAATATTTGAAGCTGTGGAGGAATCCTTGGCTCGAGATGAGGTCCTAGACTGCCTCACGATTAGAGGCTGGATCCAAAGAATTATATGCCTCATTGGCAACGCTAATACCGCTCTTGCCACAGAGCGCCGGAAATCTATCCTACTATAGATAGAGCCTAAACTTATTCATATGGCAATCACAGAACCAGGCCCTCAGGCTAAAGGTTTCCTCTTTGGAGACTCATTTGTCAAAGACCTGGGCGCATATGTCCAGACGTTTACTGCCTTGGACAAGGCACAATTAAACATGAAACGGGTGTTCCACCCAAAGATTTTTTCTGGGGCCGGCAGAGCAAGGAGCCGTCTGTCCGGCAGAGCTCCTAGAGGTTCACGACAACCGAACCGAGGCTCCTACATGGGGAGAACCCCCTTTCCAGAACAGAGGTCCACCCCGACCTTCCCTCAAACAGGCAGACCATGGGTGTCAAGAGGTTCACGAGGTGCTCCTTCCAGAAGACGTCCTTACGGTAAGCTACCTCATTTTTCTTCTCATCTCACAGTTGGGGGCAGACTGACACATTTTTCCCATGTCTGGGCTCGCATTACCTCAGATATCTGGATACTCAAAGCAGTCCACGGATATCTCATAGACTTCATATCCCTGCCTGTCCAACACTCCCCGCCGAGGGAGATTGTTTTTTCCCGAGCAGATACCATCCTCGTTTCTGAGGAAATCCAAGAGCTGGCATTCAAAGGGGCTATTCTAGAAATCCCGATGCATACTCTGGGTGGCGGAAACCGCCCAGACATCAACCCGAAACATCTAAATTCCTACGTAAATAACCACCATTTCGAAATGGAAGGCATTCATTGCTTACGAGATCTGCTCCAACCATCGGACTGGATGGTGAAGCTCGATCTACAGGATGCGTACCTCACGGTGCCCATCGCGGAGCCCCATCAGGACTACTTGCAATTCACTTGGCAAGGAAAGAAATGGCGATTCCGCTGCCTTCCTTTTGGTCTCTTTTCCGCGCCTTGGTGCTTCACCAAGCTCATGAAACCAGTGGTGGCCCTCCTTCGCAGTCCAGGGATTCGCCTAATCATATATTTGGACGACATCCTCCTGCTGTCCCAATCGGTGCCCCAACTCCACACTCACCTCGGTTGGACCATAACAGTATTACAGAATCTAGGCTTCATTGTCAACTGGGAGAAGTCCATGCTCGTTCCAACTCAGAGGATAGAATTTTTAGGACTCCTAGTGGACTCAGTGACACAAACCCTATTCTTACCTACCTCCAAGATGAGGAATATCAAAAAAGAGATAAGACATGTCCTAGCCTCCCCACAACTATCTCTCAAAAGCCTGGCCCGTGTCATTGGACTCCTGGCTGCCTCCATACAGGCCATTTTTCCAGGTCCCCTCCATTACAGAGCCCTCCAATGCCTACAGGCGTCATACCAGGTGCCTCATACGAAGATACCCTAACGCTAGACACAGAAGCGAAAGAGGAACTCCGTTGGTGGTTACGACACATGGAGGCGTGGAATGGCAAAGCCATTTTCGGCTCGGCCCCAGAGATAGTCATAGAATCAGATGCGAGTTCTTACGGATGGGGAGCTTGTTGCGGAGGCGTCTCCACAGGTGGACGTTGGTCGGACTTGGAGTCCACCTTGCATATAAATTGTTTAGAACTCCTAGCGGGGTCCTTTGCAATCCGCAGCCTATCCCCGACCCTGTCCCAGTACTCAATATTACTGAAAATGGACAACATCTCAGCGGTCCGTTATATAAATCATCTGGGAGGCACGAGATCCAAAATCCTAGCAAATTTGGCTCGGGACTTCTGGCAATTCTGCCTCCAACACAACATCGCTGTCAGGGCAGAATATTTACCAGAGCGGATTGGTATTCCCGTCACCTACGGGACTCCAGCGACTGGCACCTCGACCCCCCATATTGTCTGCTACATCTGGGACCTATGGGGCCCTCTAACTATAGACTTGTTTGCCTCTTGCTTGAATACCCAACTCCCAAAATTTTTCAGCTGGAGATCAGACCCGATGGCTTTGGCTACGGATGCATTCTCCAAAGACTGGTCCACCTCCAGGAATTATGCATTCCCCCCATTTGCCCTTATCCCGCGGTGCCTGCTTCACCTACGACGCCACTCAGGCTGCCTAGTGCTAATAACTCCCCTCTGGCCCTCACAGCCCTGGTTCCCTTCGTTGCTAGAGATGACTATAGATCACCCAAGACTCCTCCCTGACTCCCACTACCTTCTACGGGATCCCGACGGGACCGCCCATCCCCTGATCCTTCAGGGCCTCCTCCGCCTCACGGTGTGGCTAATTTCAGGGGACCCTGGGCAATCGAGGGACTTTCGCAATTGGCTCTCCGACTTCTCGAGGGCGCATGGGCACCTGGCACGAGACAGTCTTACAAGTCTGCTTGGCGCACATGGGATGATTGGTGCGTGGCAAGGCGTGTGCATTCCCTATCAACTCCTGTGATGAATGTCCTCCAATTTCTAACCTCCCTCTACGAGGATGGGAAAGCTTATCGGACGGTGAATCTCTACTGATCAGCGATTTTAGCCGGCCACGCCGGTATTGACGGTACCCTGGTGGGGCGACACCCGCTTGTCTGCCGCCTCCTCCGCGGCATCCGATTCGCAAGGCCACCTTTAACTCGTTATTCCTCCCTCTGGGATGTCTCGCAGGTGTTGAATTTCCTGACTGGATGGCCAGACAACCAAGCTTTATCCCTAAAGCAACTCTTGGCTAAGCTGGTCATGTTGTTATGCCTAATCTCCTGTAAAAGAGTATCAGATGTTAGGGCCCTCGATGTCAGCGCCCACTCCTTCTCCCCGGACGGAGTCGTCTTTGACATTTCACGGAGGACAAAATCGTCCTCACGGTCAGTCCGATACTCGACCTTCCCCACGAAACCACTCCTGTGCCCTGTAGCATGTCTCAAAGCATACGAAGCTCGTACCGCTCCTCTCCGGACCGGTCCGAACCCCCAGCTCTTTATCTCCTTCCTCAAACCACATGCTCCGGTTTCCACTCCCACCTTAGCCCGCTGGGTCAAGTGGCTCATGTCCTTGGTGGGCATTGATACCTCCATTCTTTCTCCGCATTCAGTTCGTGGAGCCATGGCCTCCAAAGCTTCCTCTGTGGGTTGTCGTTTGGAAGATATATTGAAAGCAGCGGATTGGTCCACGGAAACTACTTTCCGTAATTTCTATTTCAAACCAATCCAACATGTCACAGAAGCCGTGATATCACAGCTTTAAACTAGCATAATAGGAGCCTCCGGGTCTTTAATAAAATTCAAAGATTTTACAATTATCATGACGGAAAGTCATAATTTTATTAAAGACACGGTGGCGACTATTATATCCCACCCACCCGCCCCTAGACGGCTTGGATGTGGGTGCAGGTAAGTGACGGACAACCCATAGTAAGTTCAATTTGACGTTACAGATGCCACTGCATACCTACATTACTCTAGAGTACTACTTAATAATGGGCTTTATTTGTCACTGTTATTGGCAGACTACTTGTCGTTTTCATACTAAGTTTATGAATTGCTATCAATGTTTAATCGGACGATCGAACCTCTATAACCTGACCATCCTCGATTTCTGGAAATTACCATATTTTCTTATTTCTTTTAGCGTGACTTGGTTGGAAAGCATTCCCTGAAGCTCAGGCATGAGTCCAGTTCGTTTGTTTGTCGTTCTTGTTTGGAATTGAATTATTCTTCGGGATTCGCAAGAAAGAGGAAGGGGTCATCGATGCTCCGCCTACTATAGGAGAGGGATGTCACTGATTGGACGGTCATGTTACTAGGCGGACATTGTCAGATATGATGTTTATAACTGTTCAAATGTTACATTTTCAAATAATATTTCTTTGCTGCTGAGGGAATTAAAGAAAGAGTGCAGCATAATACTCGCCTCCGTGTCGTTAATAAAATCATGACTTTCCGTCATGATAATTGTAAAATCTTTGAATTATTATGCTATTATGTTTAAACACAGCATTATGCTTACATGTGAAATGATTTAATATTTCTTGACCATTAGCCATTTTCATGTTCGTGTATAACGTCAGTGTTTGTGGAATAGTTACTGAATACTGCTCCCTATTTAATGCACGTGGTGTTCACTTTTCGGTATTTTTGTTTATAGATTATATCATTATTTGCCAAAATCTGGCTATATGTCAATCTATTGATTGATTGATAGATTGTCAAAATGTGTTTAAATTACAGTTGTATGGCTCGAAGGGATATTTAAAATCATGGTCTTCACTTCCTGCTAGCAGAGCGATAACTGCCTTTCCAGGTTCTGTCTGATGGCTGAGCTCAGCCATCAGTTAAGTTTCCATTTCACAATTTCATTTAGAGATACCTACGTAAACTACATACTTAAGAGAAGCACCATGACCACTTCAGTGATTTGTAGTGGTCATGGTGCCTGGAATCGGTGTGGGTAACATTTCACTGTGAAACGCTGCACATACCAAGTTTAATCCCTTGGCCGCCGGAGGTGTAACGCCACTTCCAGCAGCGCCAGGGGCGTCATTAGGCAGCTCCGAACTCGTGATTGTCACTTCTGAGAGTGATCAGCCAATGGATGGTAACTGGAGCATCTTATGGATTTCACAGCTCTGCAGAAGCTGAAAGTGTGTCACCCAGGAGGAGAGGTGACCTCGGAGCCCGGCATGGACCCAGGTAAGAGGACAAACTATTACTAAACAGTTTTCCCCTTTATTGGGGAACTGGGCCAGGAACTCCTGGCATCATAACCATTAGAGTGAGCTGTGGTGATTATGGTGCTTGGAGTAGCCCTTTAAATATGGCTTACCAATAAAGCAAAACAAAACATGATATAGCCAGATTTAACAAAAAAATTTATTATACGAAAAACAGAAATATCGAAGGTCGGCTTTAATGTTGGCAAGCTTATTGATACGCATCACATAATTAAAACAGACGTTTTGAAAGGGAAAAATAACCCACAAGAATTTATAAATACTATGGATTAGGCCAGATTATCATCAATAATTATTGCTAATATAAATGTTGTTTCTGTACACATTTTAGAAATATTATTTATCATAAAAATATTATGCCTCTATTAATTGTTTAAAGGGGAACTTCAGGGGACATAAATTCTTAAACATTAAAATCATCTACAATATGTGTAACCTTTTTTAAATAATGCTCCATTTCATTTTAAATGTAAATTAAAGTTTTAGTTAATGACATCATAATCCAGTTCAGACAAGGCACAACCAAGGCACACAATGCAAATGAAGAGGAGAAATAAATACATTGTTTCATTTCTCTTCTTTTCTTTCCGCTCTCTCTATGCTGACTGCCAGGTGTAAAGGGCAGAGCTTATAAAAATTATTGACATGGAGCTAAGGTGGAGGCGCCTATTTGCAGGTGAAAGAGGGATGTATATTTACATTTTATTTCTTTGTAAATACATATTTGTGACGTACAGGTGGTAAGCAAAGAATATTAGAGATCTTGAAAAGTGACACTCCCCCTTTAAATGAATGTATATATTGTTAGGAGTAGTTTTATTTCAAATAAAGGCCCTGTGTTCAGTATTTGTATTCAGTTTTGAAGAATGCATTTAATAAATATATAAAACAATAGTTAATGTTAGGATTAAAATGGTATTTAAAACACATATTTATATTTCTTGTAAAACATATTTACAACATTTTAACCAATATTATAAATCGTTCTAAGATTTTACAATGTTAATACTTCTAACAAAGTAATAAAGCTAAAGATTTTATAAATTAAATGGGCAATACCTCTAAATAGTAATAATTTAATAAAAGCTTCATGGTGCTGGATTGGTGAGTCATTTTAGCTTTTATCAAATAACACATTTAAGTACATTAACTATATTTATATATCATATATATGTACACATAGGTCTATACAGATATATACAGCATATACAAGCACAGCACATGATATATCACATATATACATCAATCTGTAAACAAAAACATTGTCATTATCACCGTCTTCCTGAGAAAAAAAATACAGACACCAAGTTGTATAATTTTATTTACAAAACAAAAGCTTTAAATTAATTTCGGGACGTTACAAACTTATTCTGTTGTCCATTGTTCCAGCACAGTAAATATTATTTGCCCTGTACCCCAACTCGTGCCTAATCGACCAAATTTAACATTGTCCATATATTGCTTTGGGTCATAGATAAATTTGTTTCAGTTAACGGAGGCGGGTTGAAAAGTAAGGTGAAAAGTGTCCAGTTGTGAATTTTTCTAACGCAGTTATTGTATCCCAGATTCCGCAGGTTATTTGTAGATTCACAGTTTGGTGAATAAACCACAAAGTATAGGTAGTAGCCGGAAAGTAAGTTTTAAAACTAATCTCTCGTTTCCTATTCATTAAAGTAAAAAGTTTAGCAGTTTTCAAGATATATTTTATTATATATATATTGTAAGCGGTTCGGTATTACTGGGGGTCCATCTTATTTATTTCTTGTGTTCCCATGTTGTGTTCTGAATATTTCAATTTTGCGGTTTCAAAAAATTTTGTGTTTTCAAAACAAGAATCTAGATGGAATTTCCCCCTCTCTGTATATAATTATACTGGGCTACAGGAAAGATGATTTTTTTTTTTTTAATTTGAATATCTCGCCTGCAATGACTGGTAGTAAACGAATCTGCGTCGCCCCATGTTTCTGTGTCTCTACGTTGTACAACAAGACAGTTTATTCACAAAGCGGAAAACCAAACTGCTAAATCAAAGACAAAAAGTTGAACTGGAAAAAGACTTTTAGTGCAATCTTGGATATTTTATCCTGATTCCTGAATTTGTCAACTCCGTTTTCAGATTAACTTGATTTACAGTTTAGTGAATAAACCCCTTAGCCATTTAAATCCCATCCCTAGGTCCTCTAACGCTACCCCCACAACCCAACCCAACCATAGCAGCGTGGATTTAAATGGCGAAATTCAACGATGTTTTCTAAAGACACGGTGTCCTTACGAACAAAGATTTGTTAAAAATTGTCTCTATTGAAGGCACAATTTCAGCATCTATGTTTTAAATGTATTCCCCTTGTCATTTCGAACAATACCATTAGATGTATCTATTTTATGCCAATTAAGATTGATTTAGAGCGATAGAGATTTGGGATTTCATAAAGTTTTAATAAACGAATGTTTGTTTCGCAGTTTGTGCTAAAATCTTATTCTTTGAGAGAAATGGCCATAAAAATGACGCATGCAGTACCTTCAATCTATCAATCAGTCGATCAGTCAATCAATCAATCAATCAATCAGAATGGTGCTATGAAGCTCCAACACACAAACCCTTGTGGCCAGGGGCCCGCTCCCCTGATAGTCAAACCCTGATACACAATATTTTCTCTTATTCAATAAATTCCTGGACAACAGATAAGATTAAAACTGCAAGAATGAACCTCTGGGAATATAAGTTTTATGAAATCGTTTAGCTATATTGCTCTAGATTCGATTTTTGCAATTAAGTCTGTGCTTAAAAATAAACACGGTAATAAAATTGGCAGTTTTAAAACGAAATCATAAGAACCGACCAAATTCACATGTTATTAGCACGACAGGCATATATTGTGTCACTTAAAAACTGCTAAACTATTTAAAACCATTTACAACTTATAGACAATTTTCAAAGTGCTATTAATTAATGCAAGTATTTTTCAGGTGACAAGTCCATCTTAATTACTCTAAATTTTCTCAATAACAGTTTTCTCAATAAATCCGAAAAAATACTTTTTATATAATCACGTTCTGAGACATATTAAACATATACCAACAAAAATAATGTTTTTTTGACCTTTGATGACATTGAAAAGAAAATTATATTTGAACTCTTCAATCCATGAAATGGGCTGTGTGTGTGATCGATAGAATTTCTATTTATAAAATGGGCTGTGTGTCATCGATAGAATTTGTATCTATAAAATGGGCTGTGTGTGTGATCGATAGAATTTGTATCTATAAAATGGGCTGTGTGTGTGATCGATATAATTTGTATCTATAAAATGGGCTGCGTGTGATCGATAGAATTTGTATCTATAAAATGGGCTGTGTGTGATCGATATAATTTGTATCTATAAAATGGGCTGTGTGTGATCGATAGAATTTGTATCTATAAAATGGGCTGTGTGTGTGATCGATAGAATTTGTATCTATAAAATGGGCTGCGTGTGATCGATAGAATTTGTATCTATAAAATGGGATGCGTGTGTGATCGATAGAATTTGTATCTATAAAATGGGCTGCGTTTGTGATCGATAGAATTTGTATCTATAAAATGGGATGCGTGTGTGATCGATAGAATTTGTATCTATAAAATGGGATGCGTGTGTGATCGATAGAATTTGTATCTATAAAATGGGCTGTGTGTGTGATCGATATAATTTGTATCTATAAAATGGGCTGTGTGTGTGATCGATAGAATTTGTATCTATAAAATGGGCTTTGTGTGTGATCGATAGAATTTGTATCTATAAAATGGGCTGTGTGTGATCGATAGAATTTGTATCTATAAAATGGGCTGCGTGTGATCGATAGAATTTGTATCTATAAAATGGGATGCGTGTGTGATCGATAGAATTTGTATCTATAAAATGGGCTGCGTTTGTGATCGATAGAATTTGTATCTATAAAATGGGCTGTGTGTGTGATCGATATAATTTGTATCTATAAAATGGGCTGTGTGTGATGGATAGAATTTGTATCTATAAAATGGGCTTTGTGTGTGATCGATAGAATTTGTATCTATAAAATGGGCTGCGTGTGATCGATAGAATTTGTATCTATAAAATGGGCTGTGTGTGATGGATATAATTTGTATCTATAAAATGGGCTGTTGTGTGTGATCGATAGAATTTGTATCTATAAAATGGGCTGCGTGTGATCGATAGAATTTGTATTTATAAAATGGGCTGTGTGTGATCGATATAATTTGTATCTATAAAATGGGCTTTGTGTGTGATCGATAGAATTTGTATCTATAAAATGGGCTGCGTGTGATCGATAGAATTTGTATTTATAAAATGGGCTGTGTGTGATCGATATAATTTGTATCTATAAAATGGGCTTTGTGTGTGATCGATAGAATTTGTATCTATAAAATGGGCTTTGCGTGTGATCGATAGAACAATGGGCTGTGTATCTGTTAGATTAGATGTCTACCAACAGATTGCAACAAAAGACCCATTTAACGTATCTTCCTATGGATATATATAAATACAGCAAAATAAGACATAACTTAAAACAACTTAGACCATTTCACCAAAATGTCGATTACTGATTTTGCGCTTGTTTACTGGTCATTGACTAAAAAGTGAATTGATATATCGAAAACTGAATAGTGCGATTTCAGCTAAATCGAAATCCAATTCACCGTTTTTTCAGACCCAACTGTTTTTGTATAACTTTTGCAATTTAGATTTCAGTCTACCATAAATAAATAAACCCTTTTAATGCCTTGCAGATAAATCTGCCATTATAAGAATTGGTGAATCTCCAAAGTGAGAGAGAGAGATGGTTTCTGCCCTTTAGATTTTTATTAATTCATTATTTCTTTGGGAAAAAGTACCTATTTGTTCCATTTACAGTAAGGGAGTGGATGCAAGCAGTGCAGCAATGCACCGAGGGTGTAGCAGTGATATACAGAGCGGAGAGCAGAGGGTGTAGCAGTGATATACAGAGGGGAGAGCAGAGGGTGTAGCAGTGATACACAGAGCGGAGAGCAGAGGGTGTAGCAGTGATACACAGAGGGGAGAGCAGAGGGTGTAGCAGTGATACACAGAGCGGAGAGCAGAGGGTGTAGCAGTGATACACAGAGGGGAGAGCAGAGGGTGTAGCAGTGATACACAGAGGGGAGAGCAGAGGGTGTAGCAGTGATACACAGAGGGGAGAGCAGAGGGTGTAGTAGTGATACACAGAGCGGAGAGCGGAGGGTGTAGCAGTGATACACAGAGGGGAGAGCAGAGGGTGTAGCAGTGATACACAGAGCGGAGAGCGGAGGGTGTAGCAGTGATATACAGAGCGGAGAGCGGAGGGTGTAGCAGTGATACGGAGAGCGGAGGGTGTAGTAGTGATACAATGAGGGGAGAGCAGAGGGTGTAGCAGTGATACACAGAGCGGAGAGCAGAGGGTGTAGCAGTGATACACAGAGCGGAGAGCAGAGGGTGTAGCAGTGATACACAGAGGGGAGAGCAGAGGGTGTAGCAGTGATACACAGAGCGGAGAGTAGAGGGTGTAGCAGTGATATACAGAGCGGAGGGTGTAGCAGTGATACACAGAGCGGAGAGCGGAGGGTGTAGTAGTGATACACAGAGGGGAGAGCGGAGGGTGTAGCAGTGATACACAGAGCGGAGAGCGGAGGGTGTAGCAGTGATACACAGAGGGGAGAGCGGAGGGTGTAGCAGTGATACACAGAGCGGAAAACGGAGGGTGTAGTAGTGATACACAGAGCGGAGAGCAGAGGGTGTAGTAGTGATACAAAGAGGGGAGAGCAGAGGGTGTAGTAGTGATACACAGAGGGGAAAGCAGAGGGTGTAGTAGTGATACACAGAGCGGAAAGCAGAGGGTGTAGTAGTGATACACAGAGCGGAAAGCAGAGGGTGTAGTAGTGATACACAGAGGGGAGAGCAGAGGGTATAGTAGTGATACACAGAGCGGAAAGCAGAGGGTGTAGTAGTGATACACAGAGCAGAGAGCAGAGGGTGTAGTAGTGATACACAGAGGGGAGAGCAGAGGGTGTAGTAGTGATACACAGAGCGGAAAGCAGAGGGTGTAGTAGTGATACACAGAGCAGAGAGCAGAGGGTGCAGTAGTTTTGGGGCTCTGAGGGTCACTCATTACCTTGCGCTCTTGTCCTCTCCAACTCATTTAAACTATAAAACAGAGACACCTCTCTCCAGTCTAATAAATGCTATGACGTCAAATATGATCTAACTGCTCACTGATTCTAAGGCCGATCAAGCTGCCTCTCTAGACGAAATCACAGACATCCTTCCGGTGGAGAAACTGGGACATGCTGGGTTCCACAAACATGCCTCATCCATGGGGCCAAGTATCATTTAGTTTCACCTCTAGTGACTGAATGAGGACAATGATTAGCTGGAGAAGCAATCAGTGAGGAACCAACGCAT